ACTGCATGTGTAAGGCACATCTATAGCACTTAACTGCAAGTGTGTGCTAATTTAAAAAAATAATTATGAACTATTTCAAACATACAGGAAATCATGGAAAATAATGTTTATCATCACCAATGTACATATTCATTTAAAATAGTATCATATTTTAAAACTTTAAAAATGGTATCAGGTTGTCTAGATCATTTTATAATATACTCCCCTACACTAGTTATGTTTTCAAGATTTACCCAGGTTCATACATGTAGTTTTGCTGATTATTTAGAATATTCTATAGTGTTCCATTATATGAACTTACCATCATGTATTTCTGCATTCTCCTACTGAAGGTCACCTAGGTTGTTTCCAGTTTTTCACTATTACAAAGAATATTACCATAAGCTTTCTCCTTACATGTGCTTCTTTGGGTTTCTGTGAGAGTTTCTCTAAGGTAGAATGCTAGGATTCGTAGGATATGCCTCTCTTTAACATTGCTAGCCATTGCCAAATTGTGTTTCTAAATCACTCTAGTGTTTGTTGTTGTTGTTGCTTCTGTATATATATTTTTAGTTTCATCGCTGAGATACAGTTTACATACCATAAAATTTGCCCTGTAAATGGACAACTCAGTGATTTCAGTGTTATTTGCAGAGTTGTACAACCCTCCCACAATCTAATTTTAGAACATTTTAATGTGATAGTGTTATTTATAAGTATAAATAAACATACAGAAATCTGTAAATCTGGTCACGTGTCCTGTACATTATACCCAATAAAAATCCCCCAGGAACAGCTAGTTTACAGAGATTTATTTGTTTTAAACCTGTAGTTTTGAACAAATAGCTGGAAGGAACATTCCTAATTAGATTATGAAACTGCTTAAGTGCAGGTTCCTGTTATTTGCTAATTTTAAAAGCATTCCTATTTATTCACCTCAGAGTAAAATGACTCACAACCCATTTTGTTTGTAGAGAACAAGGAGAGTACTATACTTAATAAAGAAGAAATTTCCCCAGAACCATTCTTGCTCATGCCAGAAGGGAAGGGAGTTGTGAAGAGGACAGATGTGGGAGTAAACAGTTGTGAGAGCCAACACACTGGCAAAGGAGGGAGACCCACAGTCTTTATTTTTATTTTTCACAAGTTAACCTGTTGGAAGTTTTAATCAAGTACTTTTATGCTGAGTTATTACTTAATGATATTTTCAAATACTATTTACCCCAACTAAAACTTAATGTGTTAATTGTCAAAATCTTGTTAAGTTTGGTAACTGTATCTATGGTTTAGGCCATGTGGCATTGGGTTTTCCAAACTAATACATAAACACAACTTACAATTACCATTAGATGCCCCATGATGGGCAATAGGTGTGTGAGCTTTAATGTGGGTGTAGTGTGGAGGAAGCTGGTGGCATAAACTAGAGAAGCAGGAAAACAGAGCCTAGCAGTGTCAGCTTTGAAGCCAGTCCAGAGGAAGGATGGTCAGATGCAGATGCCTTCAATTGTGTTTCATGGATTAATTTACCATTTTAATCATTTTTTAAGTGTACAATTAAGCAGCACTAAGAATATTCTGGTGAAGCTCCAGGATGGGCCACAGTCACAGAGTGCTCAAAATGAAAGCTCCCTAGAATTTCTGCATGTGTGTTTATTTATATCTATGCATGTACACATGGATACACAAACATGAAGAAGCACACGCCTTTACCTCTTTTCAGCCTTGGTTTAGCTATTTTGATATTCTCTTTTTATTTTTTAATTTTTCTATGTCAAAAGATGGCAAATTCAGCTGTGAATTAAGGATATGATCCATCCAGAGGGAATTAAATATGCATGTAGGCAAAGGAAGGTAAAAGAAATCAAGTATCCTCTGTTTCCCAAAGACCTTAGGCATGCCAGGTCTTCTTCCAAGTTGCTACTTGATATTCTCTTTTTATAATTGTTAATTTTTTCTCTCTTTCCCCCCTTCTTTCATAGGGTATTGAATCTAGCAGTGTTCTTCCACTTATATCCCCAGCCTTTTTTATTTTGAGAAAGTCTAGATAAATTGCTAAGGCTGGCCTCAAACTCATGATATTCTTGCTTCAGTCTTCTCAGTAGCTACATTTTTTTTTTTTCTTAAGTGCTGGGGATTGAACCTAGAGGTGCTCTACCACTGAGCTGCATCATCAACTCTTTTTATTTATTTTGAGACAGGAACTCACTAAGTTGCTGAAGCTGGCCTCAGACTTGTGTTCCTCCTGAGCACTGAGATTACAGGTGCATATCACTATGTCCAGCTCAATTTAATTTCAGCACATACAGTTATTTAGCATTAACATTTTGCTTCACTCTAACAAAATACTGAACTCCAAATTGGCTGAGACATTGTGCCTGGTGCTCTCTGGAGGAGTACAGATTGATGCTTCTCTTCAAAACCCTTTTCCACAGTCTTTATTGGAGCTAGAAATAATCAAGTTCAGTCAAGGATAAAGGATAAAAACATTTATTTAAAAAATACTATCCAGAATCAATTCCAGTTCAGCAGGCATAAAGGATGGGTGGTTAATGTTTTATTATGATATGAAATTTGAGATACAGGAAGCATTATTGCAAGAAAAAAGTTAATACTTATTAAAAAACTGAAAAAGAAAAGTGAGTAGTAAGCTACTGTAACAAAAAGAGACATTAAGGCTGAGAACATGTCACCACACAATGAAAATAATCTCGTCCTTTAATATGCACTAATAGAACAGGAGGTCTGATTTACTCACATTTGGACTGTGGCTGGGAAGAGGTGAACTGCAAGAAGATGTGAGTAAGCCCAGTACTAGCAGGGGATACAGAAAACTGGGAATAAGGTGAAAGAAAAATTAGACAAAGGATGCCTTTGCTCAAGGGGCCCTATAAAAATGTATTTCCAGGGCTAGGGTTGTGTATCAGAGATAGAGTGCTCGCCCAGCATGCATAAGGCACTGGGTTCAATCCTCAGCACCACACAAAAATAAAAGATATTGTATCCACTTCTAACTAAAAAATAAATATTCTAAAAGAAGTATTTAAAAAAACACTTGAGAAATATGTGACTATGAAAGTTTAATGGACAGCATTAAAATGCTAAAAATATAAACAGACCCTTTATTGTAGGCATATACAAAGCCTTCTGCAACTATGATATAATACCTTGTGAAATTCTCTGTGTTTTTTTTCCTTTTTTTTCCTTTTAAATATCTTTGCTTTATGTATGTATGTATGTATGTATGTATGTGGTGCTGAGGATCGAACCCAGTGCTTCACACATGTGAGGCAAGCACTCAACTACTGAGCTACAACAAAAGCTCTGCTTATTCCCTTTTTTTGTGGCCTAGTTTTTCACAACTGAGGAGGGGATAAAAGCCTTTAGAGGCCATCAATCCAACTTTGATTTCACGGCTAAAGGAGAGTAAGTAACTTGTTCCCTGTCACATCCATCCTTAGTGGCAGAGATTGGGCCAGAATCATGTCTCCTGCCCACCATGAATGCTTTTCTCATTTCATCCCCCATCTGTACTTGGTGGCACTCCCACAATCTCAGATGGGCAGAAGGGCTGTGAGGGAAAGGGATAGGTCTGTCTGGGGTCTCTTTGGCTTGTATGAGCATGAGGCACTACAAGCAGAAGTGACAAAACACATTTCTACTTCTCCCTCAAGCCTTTAAAAATAATCAGCAACACACACACACACACACACACACACACACACAGAGTCAGGTCACAGAGTAGAACACTGTAGGTGAAGAAAACTTCTAAAAGACTATTATAAGAGCGGTTATTGATTTTAAATGAGAATATCTCGCTAATCACACACAATCATATGCTTTTCAGAAGCTCTGAAAATAAAACCCTGGTTACAGATGGTGACTAACATGGAGAGTCTGGGGCAGGCACATCTCCACAGAGTCCCTAACTGCCACACTATGGAGTCCTACCACCATTCCATGGAGTCTCTAAAGACCACACTGTCAAAAGGACTGTTAATCAGTGGTGGGAATTGCCTCCAAATATGCAAATTCCAGCAGAAAGGAAAACACATTTGACTGTATTCTTTTCAAAAACCCTCCCATTCTCACATCTATTTCTGATTTCACATTCATCAGCACTCAACATTCTAAATGTTCTATTCTGGCAACCCGTATTTCTGGGTCTCTGTTCCTGGAATGCTTTCTTGAAACATTCACAAGTGCCTCAAAAGGAGGGTGGTCAGACTTCTTGGGGTCATTTTCTTTTATGTGTCTTTTGAGAACAAAATTCAGAGACTGAAGTGGTGTCACATTTTGAAAATATCTGTCATATGTGCTTTTGTTCAAGGCTCGATTCAAGGAATATGAAATGAGAATATCTTTTGTCATATCTGTGAACAAGGAAAACCATGAGAGGAAGGTTCTTGAGTTCACTGAAACATCAAAGAGTACCACAATTCTACAGATTATCCAGCAGAAATGTAGGTTTCTTGTGCTCCACAGGTTTCTGTAAGAGCAGGCTCTTTTATTAAAACATTTCTCAGAAATTGCTTTCTCAAGAGAAGATTAATCATTTGGCTTACAACAAAACAGGAGCCCGCCATGTGTTCTGTGTTTCATCTCAGGCAATAAATTGTCTTTGTGCCAAATTCCTTGTCTCTCTCCATATAGTTTGTTGTGTCTTATATACAGACTCCTGAAAAATTCTTTCTACTTGTGTAGAAAAGCCACGACTTTCTTCCTCTAAAGCGTTGATGGTTTGCAGAGCAAAGGGAGTCCTTTCCCTGGGAAGGGGACTGTTCAGGGGCCGCATAGGTATGACAGAGTTGTATTTGTGCTGCCTGTTCACCGAATTCATTAGGGATGTATAGAACTGAAAATTACACCAGGTATCTCTTAAAAAGTTCTCAGTCAATAATAGAATTGTCCACGCAGACCCATTGACAGCATCATCTAAATTCTGTAAATGCGGTCGGCCACATGGCATCTCAGCAAAGATGATTCCAGGCTTGATACCAAAGTCATTTTGTAGCAGATTCTGGACCCGGAGGGCTTCATCTGTGTCATCTTCTGCATGCAGTATCACAAATTTAAGGAACACCTCTTCTTCTGCTTCTTCTTCAGGAATTTCTTCCCTTGCCTCAGCTCCTTCCTGCCCATCTATTTGCTCCTCTGTGGTATTGTTCTGCTCCACAACATCACCCAAGGAGATATCTTCCAATTTCTTGGGCTCTGACTCACGATGATCTTGACTTGTATCCACACTGTGGCTTTTACCCCAAGAGAGAGAAAAAGGGCAGATCCCTACTTTAGACTTCCCGATACCCATGATAAATGTCCAAGATAGAAGAGGAAAGTTTTATTTATTTCTCAGCATTTCTTTGCAATCTAAAAGAAGAAACAACAAAGCAGAAGATTATTGTGAATTTAATTACAAGATTAAAAATAAAAACTTTAGTTCAACCCCCAAATCTCAAAAAGGCTACAATAGTCAGAAAGAAACAGCAAACAGGTAATTGGGAAATTAAACTACTAGTCTTCTAAGAACTTTACAAGGCTTCCCAGAGGGAATCCATGGTGAGCTAAACAGAGGGTTCAATTTAATATAGCAAGAAACATTTCGAAAATTTAAATGACATTATATTAGCATTATATTAACTTCTAGGTTAAAATAAAATTCTTTGGTATTTTAATGAAAAGCTAACATACTAGTCCTACCAATATGGGGTCTAAATTCAATTTCTCCAACAAATTATTATATAGACTAGAAGCAGGAAAATATTTAAAAAAACAGAATCTTCAAGTATTAAATAAGAATTTATTTTTGTCTAAAAATAAGCACAAATACCAGATAAGATGCAAATATCTTAAAGATGAATATCAGCAACTTTAGTGATTCAGACCAAAGAGTAAATATGAAACAGTGTCCACTTTTCATTTTTTTTTTTTTTAATGCTGGAGTCAGGCCGTATTGTGGTAGCAAAGCTGGTAGAGAAATTATAATTAGGAGGTGTGAAAAGTAAGGAACATATTTTTCCATCTAATCCTAGAAATACTGAAGAAAATTTATTTATTCAACTACAGTTAACATCTCAATGTGGAAACAAAATCTAGAAACCAAGACTTGTAATTTTCTTTAGTGAAATCAACAAAGACCAATGTAGTCTAAATTCATTACTTTATAATCAAAAATTCTAAATTCTGGGTGGAAAAATTAGATTAGTTGTGAAAGAAAAATACCCCAATGTGAAGTGTTGTTTAAATAACTCTACAGAAAATTGGCAAGGTTACTAGTGATTCCTGCTCCCCATAAGCAGTTCTTCTATCAAAAGATAGAAAGTTTAGAATGAGTACAGGTTTCATATTTTATAATATGAGCCACAGGCTATATTCCAGAACATTTTTATTAGTTATCTATGGGCAAAGTCCAGAGTTCAAAAAGGAAGTATAATTATATTCAGAATGACTTAAGTAACACAACTAAAATCATTCAGATTGAGAAGAAACTATTCAACAGAAGTAGTGAAACTGTTATGTTAAGAAAGAAAACATTAAAGAAAAAAAAAACATACAGCATTTCATTTTAATGTATATAAAGAGTAAAAGTGTTTGCTGCTGCCTCTGTCTAATAAAGGAATGAAAATTGCTGGCCAATGCCTGTCAATCACTACATCTGTACTTCAGGATGTGGTTCTTTGGTAATCAGTTCCAGTTACAAAGTGGTATTCTAAGACATAATAACTCTAAAATATGACAGCCATACATCTCAAATAATAAAACCAAATTAATTTGGGCTCTCTCCATTGGTTAGGATTTACTGGTGACTTCTGTTACTGCATTATGAAAAAGGTTCTACCATGCAAACCTGCAAAAGAAGCTTCCTCTGCATATGAACACATTTGTTAAACCAATTGAGGCATCTATTTACCAGTGTAGTGCCAATTAAAATGACTTTTCCTATCACTAGCCAGTGGAAAGCGGTGCTCTTCATCAAGAAATATGTAACACTTCTAATATAAACTTGTATGCAAGCCAGATCACAAAATGATTTGAAATAAATTAAACAATGAGAATCATGAATTTGTCTTATTTTTCTTAAATTCTAGTCAGCATAAAAAGAAAAAAAAAAGACTTCAGAAATTTATGTGTTGTGCCAACTTGAAAGCACTCTCAGCTGCCTAGTCAGACCAGAGAAGAAAGTGACAACTTCTGAAAAATGCTGTAACCTTCTAATTTGGAGAGAGGGAATAAGGAGACAGCCAACAGGAAGAGAAGTGTAAAGCTCTTTGCTAGAGATACATGTTTGCCACCAGCACCGTGATTCCAGTGACTGATGTGGGGAGATGGTAGGACTCATCACTATGGTTCCTAGGGCTGGGAGAAAGGAGAGGACCAGACTGTCCCAGCTCTGAGACAGCAACTTCATTAATAAAAAGGGCAGCAGAATAGAATAGACATTATGATTGCTGTATGTATACAGGTGACTCTATGACCAGTGTGATTCTGCAATCTGTACAATTAGAAAAATGAGAAATTATACCCCAATGAATTAAAGGTATGAATTACCAAGATCATTGTAATGTCATCTGTAGCGAATAAAAAAAATAATAAAATAAAACAAATTAAAAAAAAAAAAAAGAGGGCTTGCCCGGCGCAGTGGTGTGTGCCTGTAATTCCAGTGACCTGGGAAACTGAGGCAGGAGGATTGCAAGTTCAAGGCCAGCCTCAGCCACTTAGCGAGACCCTGAGCAACTTAGCCAGACCCTGTCTCAAAATAAAAGATAAAAGAGACTGGGGATATGCTCAGTGATTAAGCACCCCTGGGTTCAATCCCTGGTACCAAAACAAAAACAAAATAGGGATAACAGGAGTGAAAGAACAAGACAGCAAATGTGCTATGGCAAGCATGCAAAAAGATTGCAGGCAATTAAATAACAGGTAAAGGCATATCATAACATATAGAAGACAAATTCAAAATTCCTTTTCTATTAAAGCAATGTAGCCCAGAATCTGACAGCCTGTGTGTAAATCCCAGCCCTGCTATGAAACAACTATGTATCTTATTGTACAAGCTACTCTATATCTTTGTGCTTTGATCTCATCATATGTAAAATTATGATAATTACACTACCTATATTTAGAGTTTTTATGAAGAGCAAAACGGCTTAAAATGGCACATGGCACATAGTAAGTGATCTCTAAATGTTAGCAGCTTTGTTATGAAATACATAACAAAGAAGCTAAAGAAAAAGTAACCAAACAAATATTTTTGTTCTATGACAGTGTTACTCAAAATGTTGTCCATGGACAAGCTGCCAGACTTTGGATTGTTATCAGTCTATAACAAGAAAAGGAGACTGTGCCTAGATTTAAATCAACTATATCAGTAAGCAAGCCACTTAGTTCAGCCTGTGCTTTTTTCATAGCAAGATACTCTCAGTGAAGGAAGAAACATGGTTTTCATTCTAGTGCATACTTCTTATGTTGTCAAGGACAAATATTTTGAGTGACATTGCTCTAGGAGACATTAAAGAGAACATGTAATCAATGAAACAAAGGTATCAGAGATGAGGTGACAGAATGAGATGAAAAGAAAGACTAGACACATCAAGGACCCCAATACTATTAGGAAAAAATAGAAATAGAAAAGAATGAAATAAACACAACTCAAAGCCAAATCAGTTAAACATTGCAAAAAGGACTGAGAAAAATAACAAAGTATGAAAAGAAAAAAGACCATGAAAATAAAGAAGTCTGAACACAGATATAGCTATGGGGATAAAAATAACCAATATAAAGAAAACCAGTGCACCTGAAACAAAGAATTCAATGAATGTAACAAAAAGATCAAAAGACACAAGGATCCCCATCCTCACTTAAATGATCAGTTTTAGTGTTGCTGATATATTATGTGCCTCCTGATGAAATCTGATATGCCAAAAAAGTTGAACCTGACTCTAATCATTTCTTTAGCTACAATTGCCAGTTTACAGAAAGTAAAGAAGACAAGAAAAATGTTCTTTTTTTTTTTTTTAAAAAAAAGAATTATAGATGCGCTAGATATTAAGGCAGAGATTTAATTAGAAAAGCAGGGAATCTCAAGGGAGAGTGCTGACCATCTCTAGAGTGAGAGATGCCCAGGGGGCTCAGGGCACTTTTTTTTTTTT